TTGACTCTATTTATTTCTGTTGAAAAAATAATTTTCCAAGTTTTTTTGCTATAGGCTATTTAAAGAGGAAACAAGGAAGCTGTATCCTAAATTGTAACTCTGTTCAATGTTATTTATGGCTTTTATTGGCAAAATTTTTGTCACTTTACTAAATAATTGTAAAAAAACATATACAAGATCATCAGTATCATTAAATAGACATAAAAAAAAATTTCAAATGTCAAAAAATAAATGTCAAAATCTTTTGACAGATAATTTTTTAAACATTTTTTTCATGTTCCTGGTATCTTACCTTACTTGAAAATTTTCTCTGGCGCACCCTGTATAGAGTAAGATAAAAAAAACTAAATCAAATAATAGTACCATAGTAACCATTTCTAGATTCTAGAATAAAGAGGAACTCTAGAATAAAGTTGTACTATTTCTACTCGTATCTAAAGAATAACAGCAACATTATTAATTCATGTTTATAAGAGAGAAGTCGTATATTTACAGTATCAAACTCCAATTTGCACAGTAAAAAGTAACAATAAACGTAAAGTAGGTACTCGTAAAGCAATTGCAATCATTTTACTGAGCGTTTATCTCTTTGATACAGGGTAGTTAAAAAGTATGGATACAGTTAAATATTATAAAAACTATTCATCAAAACTTATTGAAATTTAAAAGTATTTAAATTACATCGCCTCATATGTTTATGAAACTTCTATCGCCATTTGTTCTGGAGTTACAAGCCTAACTTGATTTTTTTTTAAGTCAAGAAGGGTCAAATTTAATATTTTTAAGAAGAGCATTTTTTTCTAAGTTCTGTGATGTAACACATGCATAACTTATTTAAAAAAAAATGTCGAACTAACTAAATTTTGTGAAATGTAATTTTTTTTAGCCTTAGAAATGTTTTTATCTATCGTTAGTTCTTTGCCGGCTAAACTTTGACCGAAAAATACGTAAACTATTTTCCAAATTTCAACGTACTCTGCTATTATATTTAGCTGTACCAATACTTTTTAGCGACCCTGTACATATTTCTATAAAACACCTGTTATTCCATTGTGCATTTATTATTATCGCCCTGTTTTTTAATTTGTTAATCGGCATCTATTATTTTACTATAAAGATACTAGTTTTATTGGATATTAATTATTTTTAAATTACTTTTACTAAACATTCACTGTTTTTATTAAACAAAAATAAGTATAATAACGTGCATTTAATTTGTACCTAATAAATATTACTGCATTTACTGGTGGTGAACCAAAGTGGGGTTCAGGATACGAACAAATTTGCTCCGGACGATAATGCTCTGTCAGTATGTTATAATAATAAACTCAAGCGAAATCAAATGTTTTCATTCTAGTGAAAGTATATCGTCTCGGGTTCTGGCGATTATTTTTCAATGATTAATACGTGTTTGTCAAGAATGTGGTAGGGTACGTGTATGAGTCATCTATCAATGTTGAATGTACGAGTATGATGATAAAGTTGTAGAGAATTAACAGTGAAGGGTTTCTTTTCTAGTGACAAAGTGGTGTGCTGTTAGCACTGAGGAATATTTAGGTATGTTTTTGTTTTATTTACATTTGTTGAAGTAAATTACATGAAATTTTACCACGAGTTTATTTACTAGTCGTACTTGAAATAGCAACAGTAATCTTGGCGCCATGTAAATACTAGTTAATACAGTTGTATGGTGATATCCCACTAATTACAAACATGTTAAGAAAGTGTTACAATGGATTCAGTTTTCTAAAAACTTTTAAATATGTTATATGTGATGGACAATTACTCGTCGTTTTTAACAATGGTCAGGGTGAACAAAAAGTTTGGAACCAAGAGGTTTTTTTAATCATTTGCCTTCAAAAATTAAGAATTAATAAAAATGAAAGTGTTTAAAAAATGTGACGTGTTTTGAAAATAAAATATTGTTTTGTTTTTGAGTTATGCGAAGTTTTTTCAAAATGGCAACTTGTATGAACATTTTTTTTTGATAAAAATTGAATAAAATGTACATAGTTCTAATCCTTAGATCATAGCCTTTGTTCAAAAAAGGTTTTAAAGTGGGTTGCCATTTGAAAAAATTAAAAATTTTGCAGGATTCAAAAACAAAACAAAAAACGAAAAATCTTATTCTTGAGAAACGTTATGTTTTTGTAGTATTTTATCATTAAAAAAATCGTTTAAGCAACAAACGTTTGGTTTCATACTTTCTGTTCATCCGGTATACATTATTACACTTTTCATTATGATTTGACCTGCTTCATTTACAACATTTGAATTTGGCGTTTGAAAATGAATTTTGATCGAAAATAACGTCTCATAAAATTAATTACTAAATTAACCATTCTATTTTGGTAAATGTCGAGCAACAAAAACAATCACGAAAAAAGAAAATTTTGGCGAATTGTCAAGGTTCTAAACAAGTCATTTCTTACTTTTACCTCGTTCTTTCGAAATTTAGATTTATACTTTTGGTGTAGTATAGAATGATCAAATAAATCGTTTCACAAGCAAATACTTTTTATTAAATATGTATCAGCACGTGTTACACGCAGTTACTAACAATATTTTTGTATTTTTCAGTTTTTTTACTAGAAAATTGTAATGACTTGAAATAGGTAAAGCAAACAAGCAAATGCATATCGAGGACAAATTAATGATCAAGTAATTTATAAATCATAGTTTAATTTTAGTATCATACATTATTTTTCTCTGTAGTTTCCTCTTTCCTCTCCATTGCTTATCCAAACGATGATTATACTTCAGTACATGTCTTTTATTATGAACCATTTTTCTCACAAATGCATATTTACTAATAGCTTAAAATAGTGTTGTGTGTTTCAAAATCACTCTGTACATATAGGGTGATTTAAAAGTGTCACACTATTTCTTGGGTGGCGATACATGACATCCAACTGAGATAAAAGTTCCCATGACAAAAAATTGTTTGAGCCTTCTTTCACGAGATATAGCTCTTCAAAGGTTAGTTTTTGGATTCAATTTTGGGCTGTTCAGATCATGTTGTATTCAAGTTACAGATCGATAGTTAATCTAATTTTAGTGCTTCTAGTTCACAAACCTTTTAATAGTTATATTTTTTTAAAGTGATAAACTTTTAAGTAGACGTTGTCATTGTGCGTCTAAATATGTAAATTCGTCACACTTACATTTCTTAATGAATACTGAAACACTCATAATATTGCTATTTTCAACCTAATAATGTATTCAAAGCAGTCCCATGTGGGTTTGTTTGTAACGTGTAGAAATTGTCGTCTAGCCAAAAGTAGATAATAATAATTGTTATTGCCATCAAATAACCTGTAAAAATTCTCGCCACATGGTACTTTTTATCCTGCGTGTCACAATATGATAATACATATTTCAATTTATTGAGAAACCTAATTTACGAAATGGTCTATAAAGTATTTTAAGTATTAATAAAGGTTTGATGTACCTTCAGGAAATAATAGATTGTGTTGTTTCGTTGTTTGTTCGACAGGCCAAAATCACACATCCATTAATTCTCATCAAAAATGTATGCTTTTGCCACAGCAATACATTTACCGTAAAATATTTTCAAGATGGCGTTATTTTCAAAATTGCGTTTTTGGATAACTCAAGTGAATTTAAGAGAGTTTTTATCAGCTTTCTCTACATTCAAGTTTGATCGTTTTTGAAATCATTTTCAAATGTAAGAATTTGCACCTTGCTTTTGAAAAATCCTCTGACATTTTTAATTACTCATTTTTCGAAATTGAATAATAATTAATTTCGAATTGAAATAATAATTAATAAATCTTCAAAATTTAAGATTACGTTTGGGAAACATCAAATACCCATAACTCAATTTGTTCAAATAAATAGCAGCAATTTTTTTCATTAAATTAAGGAGAATTTAATTCTGCATTGATCTATATCAACAATCCCTATATTTAATGGTTTTCAAGTTATCTTAACATTTTTTACAATGCGAGAAATGTTGTTTTCGCATAGTTTGGTATGGAACTTACTTACTGAATAAACTATTTTTTTTTTGACAATGGTGTTATTTTTTCCGTAAATACAAATTAAATGCAATAATGCATTTAATCTAAAAACTCGAACTACTTTTATTCTCCCTTTTTTTTTTCTTATTTCTTGTTTTTCTTTTTCTTATTTTCTTATTTTAATAAATTTCCTACAATATTAAGAAAAAGTTACTATAACTTGAGAACCATTGAAGAAGAATTGCTAATACACATAAAATAGAATTAAATTCAGTTATGTAGCTACCTCAATTGGGTCAGTATTTACTAAATAAAAATCTCCCAATTTTAAATTTATTTATTTCGGGGTACCGGTTTCGACCATTTGGACTTCATCAGTGCTGCGTCACTCTATTACCCATTAAAATATTTGAAAACTTTAAATAACATTAACGACATTAGTAAACAAACTCAGACCGTTTTTATTTTATTTTTTAATTTAATGTCGTTAATGTTATTTGATAATATTTTAATGTGTAATAGAGTGTGACGTAGGGCTGATGAAGGCCAAATGGCCAAAACCGGTACCCAGAAATAAATAAATGTAAAATTGGGAGAATTCTATTTAATAAATACTGACACATAATAATAATTAAATTCTCCTCAATTTAGTGAAAAAAAGTGAGGCATTTCGTTTAGAAACATTGAGTTATGGATTTTTTAATTACCCCAAACGTAACGTTAAATTTTAGGGATTTATTGTTAGTCACTTTTTCATTTATAAATTACAAAAAAAAGATCGAACCTTTCGCTTTTAAATGCCCAAATACCATTTCATAATAGTTAAAAATTGCAAAGTTATCGAGGAGAAAATTTGAAATCCAAACATTTTCAAAAAAGTCTGAAAATCGCAGGAATCCAAAAACCTAATAAAAAATATAGCTTTCCATTAAAAAAAAAAAAAACAAAGTTGCTACTCACTTCCGGTATAACCTGAAGCAACATGCAATTTTATAAATAAATATTCTCGGAACTTACAATATTTCTAATGAGGGGTTTAGCCGGACGGTCCTGTATATTGTATTATTCGTACACCTCGTAATAAGCTGTTTTAACCCTTTAGAAAGCATTTTAAGTGTAAAATGTCAACAATGGAGTGAGGAAATAGTACGTTGACATTTCGCTACAAAATCGATGAATTACAACGAAACCAACGTATATTTTTAGTGCTTCAACTTTTGTTAAAATCGTTTCTTAAACTGTTTGGATATAAACAAGAATTCAATCAACTCGAAAAGAATTCCATAATAAGGTCAAATGATATCAAGTGTCGCCATAATTTATCTCCCTTGTCATTTTTATTTATGGAAATCTCGCATCAACATGATTCATTAAATCCGAGAAATTTAAACTGTTAATTTCAAAGAGTGATAAAAACGGTTCGACCAAATTCGTTTTCATGATTCATTGTTTTCAAACTAATTTTGCATTCTAATTAAGAAACGTATGTACACATATGTATGTAAGTTAGTGGTCGTAAATTATGTTGTCATTTACTATGGAAAACTAAACTACAATCTTAAATTTTCCAGCAGATGTTGCAAAAGTGCTAATTAACACCGTCTGACGCGATTTTAGGAGTAACAAAGTACCTAATTGCAAACTATCGAATAGTGTTAACAATAACCCAATGCTCATGTGCAAAAAAAGGAGGGGCGACACTATAATTAAGAGCACATTATTCTAAACTAGTCCGGGTATCTCGTTAAGATATCTGCAATAATTTTCTTTTGCAAAATGCAAATGAAAAGACTATTGTAAATTTTTAAAGGTGTGCAAGTGGAGAATGGCAGTTCCTCAAAGTGTATAGAAGTTTCAAAAATGATGGCACATTCGAAGGTGGATGAAAATGAAAGGAACACAGAAAAAAAAGACGAAAATGAAAGTCCACCTGAAATTGTTGTTGATGGAGAGTGAGTAAAGTCGCTTATGCAGAATAACAACAATCTTAACCATCTTTCATTCTACTATTAAAACACATTAATAAATTTCTTTTCTCAAACAAGATGAAGCAAGTCTAGTCTAGTCATATTTTTTACTCGTTCAAATATTTATATTTTCTATGACACCACACAATTTTCAAGGCTGTGTGTGTTGCTACTGTTAGTAACAATAAAGACATTATTTAAAAAAGTTGATTTTTTTTACATTTCTAGCTAATAAATAAAGTGACAGTCGTCTATTATGTTCAAATGGAACGTTATCAATATTATCATATTCATGGTCACGCTTACATAGTAATTAGCATGTTTAAAAATAATAATTAATGAAAGTGGAAATTATCTATACAATGGATTAAACTCTAAACTAATTATGTAATAGTTATTTACTTTCGTCAGGACGAAATTAATTTGACACACGCCTAGCGAAGTGTCAATAATTGAATCCTGTAAAATGGTTAGCACACAAGATTTTTGGCTGAAGACTTTTATTTAAAAAATCTGTAATAAATTTTTCAAAAGAATCGTGATAGCTATGACGCACCACTAGATGGCGCTACTCCAAATAGAATTAAATATTAAAAAAAAATATTTCAGTAATAAAAAAGTTATATAAAATAACATTTCAAAATGAGTTTTCGGTACCCAAAGAAATATATTTTATAAATGTGTCTTAAGGCTGATGTATTTTGAGAGTTTTTACCGCACGCCGTGCATGAAAACACGTATTTCACTATTTCCCCAGTTGAAAATTAAAATTCTTAATTACTTTTACGCAATGTGTTATCAATGAAAAAAATATGATTTGCTTGGCTAAATTTCACAAGTATCTAAAAAATGTTCAAGGTTTAATTTCGTTTTTCACTGCGTCGCAATACACCGTTAAATCATTAAGGTCAAATTCAATTGTTCATAATTATTTGGGGAGATCACTGGTTATTATTAAGTCATCCTTGATTTATAACTCTAGCAATTACAGATCACTACTTGCAATGTTAGTGACTGATAGGTACTTAATTGTCGTCTATAAATTTTTTAATCAAGGAATTTTCCAAAGTAATTTCTTGATTTTCGTAAAACAAACTGTTAAACATAACATCAGCGGCAACGCCATAAAAATAATTTAATAGTGACTTAATATCCTAAATGTTTATTGTTTTACCACGATTTAAAGTAAAAATAAAAAAAAATAAATCAAACAGTATTATTCTAAATTTATAGTTAGGTTTTTTATAAATAGGTACAAGGAGTTTTCTTAATATTGCAAAAAATTGCTAAATACCACATACTTTACGTATACAGTATGATGAAAAAAAGGCGCCCGTGTTAACCCACACGTTATAAGTGATCTTTTATTAAAGACGAATTCGAAGACCAAAATTGGATTTGTGCTCTTATCAGTTCTTACTGATAATCTTTCCTTTTTAGAAAAGAGAAATCTAAATAATTAATAGTTTTAAAATAATTTCATTGTTAAAGTCTAGATTTTGATACAGTTGACGGTGTTTTTAAAAAAAAATGTGTAAAAAGTCTATTGAAATAAACTTTATTGAAGATGTTAGGATATCATTTCTTGGCTCCAAAGAAAATTTATCAATGTTGCAACATTGCAAATATCCTAGGATACAGAAAATGTCCAAGTAATATTCAATTATTGGAAACGGTAGCAACAAAAAAATCAATTTTCAATGTTGTTTGTTCTGTAAAATTTGAACGATTAAAGTCAAAAAGTCAAAGATTAAAAAATTAATTGAAATCATTAGATTCCTTTTGGTCGTATCGTATTGGAATAATAAAATTATGTAAACTTTACAGTTTTTTATTCTATGCGGGTGACAATATCTGTCAGTACTGGTTTCCTAGATACGAAAAATACCTGACTGAAATATTTTTTTAGTAAAAGAAAATTGTGCAATATTGCCGTTTTGTGCTGTTAGACAAACTGTTTAAATTTTAAAAAGAATCTATTTAGACCATTTTTGCAATGATGGTCACAATGTTTCAATAAAAAAGGACGTGTCTGTTTCAGTCGTGGGCGCCTTTTTTTCATCACCCTGTATACAGCGTGATAAAGTTTAATTCTAAATTACAAAAATTATAATTTTTCAACAACTAGAATAGTATACAGAGTGCGCCAGAACTCGCGCCCCAGAGAAAAATACCATGTAAGGTAAAATACCAGGAACACGGAAAATTTTAAAGTTATGAGAGTTTAAATTTTGCACTTTGTGGCTTTTATTGGCAAAATTTTTGTAGACATAAAAAGATGTCAAATGTCAAAATTTTTTGACATATAGATTTTTTTTCCATGTTTCTTGTATCTTATCTTACTTGAAATTTCTCTCTGGGGCACGAGGTCTGACACCTTGTACAAATACAAATTGCAGAAGGCATCAATTCAAGAAAGAGATCAAATGTTTGCTTGTATGGTCTTCTGTAACGAGTGTTTCACACATTTTTTTTCTCTTTTGTGCTTTTAATGATGTTTTTTAAGCAAAGAAAAATCCTTAGTTTAGGGAATTTTGGGTCAGTTGGTGACATGTAACAGTGTTGGAAAAATCAACTCAAACTGATATTTTTTGTCATTGCACGTATGATTCCTCAAGATATTTCAACCGCATATTATGTAATAGTTTATTACAACCCAGATGGGAAATATGTTTTACCCCGAGGACGCAGATGTATGACCGAGAAGCGCAGCCTCAAGATTAAACAAAGTGCGATTATATTATTTCGCTTAAATAATAAAATTTCTATTCGTCTGTCAAAGTTGATGGATGCATTAGCATAGTTGCTAATTCTACACAAATTACTTCCCGACCAAGGGATGCAATAAGATATTTTCCAACCTCCAGAAGGTTGGCTTATTATATGCTAAAGTGATTGTAAATAAAAACGATTCTCTATTGACATTTTTCTTCTACCGACATATAATTTCTACGCTTGCTTGATATAAGGACTTTTTGATCTCACTGTACAGCATTGTATTACGAGTACATTACACACATAAGAAATACATTGTAATGAAGTGGGAATACCATTAATTTGGTTACAAATCTGAGAACAAGGCTCTATTAGTCTGAACATAATACGTTATATGATTTCTTTGATTTCTTTCATATCGTGAGATGTTTTTATTCCCACAAAAAGTAAGAAAAGTATTGTTAAAAGGAAAGGATGCTTTTAATATTTATCGCGTATTAGAGTAATAATATTAATATTAAAGCGATATAATCATATTGCAAACAAATCATTGTTTTACGAGTAGAAGTCAATAATTAATATCAGATAACAATTTGATTATAAGTTTGTTTAGTTTAATATCGGTTTGTTCGCCATCAATTAATTTTTTGGCCTTGACAACTGTAATTGACACATTTTTGACAGCTAGGGTAGTATCTGATTTTTACAAGGCATTTGTGCAGTTTCAAGCACAAATAACAAGAAAATTTTAGGCTTTCAGAGACTCCAAAAATATACTTTATGGTAAATGAAATCCATTAATGCTGAGAGAAGATATCGCACACATTTATCTATTTAGTATTAAAAAATAAACGCAATTTATTTTCTTTCGACATAATTCTAATCAACGCTAGCTCGTGGTAAAAATAGTAAACGCATAAATCCGTCATGTCTATTGAGTGTTGCTGTTGACAAATCAAAATTTGAATTAATTTAAGAACGGTCTTTGGCTAGTTTTGTACATTATTTGTACGTTTGGTATTTTAAAGCGTTCAGCTTTCACGCTGTGAAATTATACATACCGCACATAAATCCTTACTTAAAATTATTGTTTGTAGTTTTTTGACAATTACATGTAGTAGTCTACATAAATAATTTAGATACTTTTCCTTTGCAACTAAAGCTTAACTACGAATACAAAAAAGTGTATTTACATTTATAAGTAAGTACTTTGAAAGGGAGAAACGAAAGAAAGCAATTGAAAAGATTATTATCTAATCTTTGAAGTGATATGTGAGTACCCAAGTACTCATGTTTAAGAACGGCTACTTAATCGGTTTATTATAAGACTACTTGACAGTGTGTATGTATGTACCACGCTTTTAATAATAAAATTTCTGCTCAAAGTTAGCCATGGTTTTGAACTTAAGTTGGTGACATTGAATTAGACATATAGAGACAGTACCAGATTTGCAAATTCTCATATACATAAATATGTTCGGTTTCTCTATTATTCATTATTACCAACTTTACATAGGATAATCTTACAGAAAACAAATTAAAAGTTTTAAATAAATTTTAACTAATAAGGATTAATTAAATGATTATTTTCATCAATTACTTTATACTATCGAATGTCAAATTAAAGGTGACATTATAATTTTAATGTAATTAAAATTTTGGTAAAAAATCTTTGAGATTATAGAAATTTTAATTTTGAAAGACTATCAAATCTGAAAATTCACTGTAAAGCAGGCTTTAGCGTCACATTTGACATTGAAATGACATTAAAATTGAGGTAAAAAATCGGACCGGCGGTGAATATAGACTTTTTAATTTCGAATTGTTGAATAACAACGAAGTAAATATGAAATTTTTTTACACTTTCTACAAATTCACTCTAAAGCGGGCTTTAATTCAATGATCTTACCCTCCGATTTTTTTGTTATTGTCTTCTCAGTCGACATTGTAAAAAAATCCTAGTTTTCGCTTAGTCGTTAAATTTTCAAAGCCGACTGAGATTTATTTCATCATAACAAATTATGTATTTTTTTTTGAAAAGAATAACTTAACGGGCACTGACCTGAACCGTTGATAATAATTAATAACAAAAACACGCCGATATTCAAATCGAATCAATGAAAATCCGGGGGCAAACACCAACCTCGTGAACAAAATACTGCGCCAGCGCACCGTAACGTAACCGTAACGCAATGTCAGTTACACGCAGACGGTCATGTTGGTAACAGCGTCGTAAAATACCATCGTTATTATTTTGTTTTTCGTTGTTG